TACCAGGATATCTGCTAGGTTATGAGCCCAAAGCTGGATCGTGGACAACGTAATGAGTGAATATAAGGCTTCTACGACGAGCGATAATGCAAGTACGAAGAGTACGATAACTAGTGCGACTCCGACGACCCAACAGCAAACAGCGGTAGTATCGGTGGGGCAACCTACTGTTACGCTGGCTGATGCAAGTCGCGTTGGGGTACCAATGGCTGGAGTAGTGGGGCAGGCTGGAGCGTCGCCAGGACTACTTGGTGTGCAGCAACCGGCGGTTCCTGTAGTTCAAAGGTCAAAACCATTTGGCAGCAGCAAGCCACCGAAGTTTAGCGATACCTTCGAGGTATACCAGATGAGTTTAAAGCTCTATCTTGAGCAGCGAGACTCATGGAGTGTGGTGACCGGGGAAGAAATGCGTCATGCATTTGATCCGGTGTTGCAGCGTCAATATGATGATCGAAATCGACTGGCCATGGAGACTATAATCCGAGGCGTAAAAGGTGCTGATGCCCAAAAAGTGTGCATTTGCAGCACGGCGAAGGAGATGTGGGACACATTGACTGCGGAGAAATCCCAGCGAGACTTCTCGTATGCAGTGCATTTGAAGCGTGAGCTGTACACTCACTCGTACGCCCCGGGCCAAAAGATGGCGGAATACATCCAAGAGATGAACATGTTGCGGCAGCGTTTGCAGCACATGGGGCCCAGCTTCGTGATAGACGATACGTCGATGTCTCAGTTGATGCTGATGGGAGTGTGTGCAGTGCATCGCGAGATAGTGACCCAGTTCGACTTCTCATACCGACAAGGAAACCCCCCCATCGTTGCAGCAAAGTGAAAAACGCACTGCTTTCGCGCGATTAAGAGGGGAAGATGGCGGCTTGACCCGCCCGAGACCTGCTGGCGCAAGCAGTGGCGCTCCGAGGTGGCCATGCTTAATGGGGAAGCCTACCGGGAAGCATAAATTGCCCGAATGAGGGCCAGGCCCCGCCCTGGTCCATCGAGGGCCGATGAGAACCCCCGTGCCAGACAAAAGACGTGCCATCGCTGCTACCATGGAAGAAAGATGGAACCATGGAAAAAACTGTTGGTACTACAAGAGCAGGAAAGAAGGCCATGCTGGCAAGGCGAGGCCAGTGGAACGGAGAAAGCCAGAGAAAGAGGAGAGAGAATTTCATGGGATTAGCCAAAAACCCAAAAATTCAGTGGCACTACGCCTTTCCTGAGATGGCTGTCGGTTAGACTGTTGTTTCGTAGGGGGGTTTTTTTGGAGGGGGATTTGCCATTTGCGGTTTTTGAAATAAAAGA